ATGATAACTTTTATTCAATTTTCGATCTGTGCGATATATTTTTCCTTGAAGTAATTATGTGAAGATATCCGATGCCTCAACATAATTCTCTCTTGTTTTTACGGCTTAGGTCCAGCGCCTTTTGTACCGTATGAATTAACGGTCTCAGTAGAGTGTTGTTTAAATGAATTTTAAAAGTCACTTGCAAAATCACACTTCTCATTAGAGATGGCAATCGAACGGAATTCGGGTTCGGTCGCAAATCAACCGAATGCTCATTGTGAGGCTCCGGAGTTCGGTATTTCGACCGTAACACAAAATTTTCAGGGAGAATCTCACGTAATCAAGAAAAATTTTACTAATCGAACTTCCCTCGGTTACCACCGCTACTTCCCACAATCTAATGGTATCACCAGACAGTTCGAATGAGTCCATACCAACCTTTAATATCATCAGGCGTCGGGGAAGTGGCCGTACTGGCTCGGTCACTTAATTCACCATCTGTTTCCATCTCTTCATCATCCAGCTGACCATCAACTTGATCATCTTCACTATCTTCCTCAATCGTNACAAAAACGAACATTACAGCTACTAAAAAACATTGTTAAAGATTCTCATAGAGCCGTTCTGTTTGTAATGTGCTAGATTAACCGATTATTTGTATGTAAATAATTGCTTAGAAGAGAATTAGAGAGAATCTTACAACAAGATAAAAATGAGAAGAATGTGATAACAATGTTGGCAGGTATGATTTCAATTCTGTTTCTGCTAGTGATGGCATTCGAACGAAAGTTCAATTCGATCAGAATCCAACCGAATCAACTTTTCAACCTTGCGAGATGCATTATTCTAGCCGAATTTCAAAATTCTTCGGTCTGAGTAATGAAATATGTGAATACCTCGGGTTCATCAAAATTAAGGATGTCACTTTGTGAGTTTTCATCATCTGGCATACTGATGGCTACTACTTCGCGTTGCTCGATAACCTAAAGTATTCTGTTTGAAATTCATATCGGACAATTCACAATCAACAAATTAAGAACAGGATTGCGACATAAGGATTGCGAACACCTTTCTCTGCAAATTTCTTCGGCATTCTTTGCTATCATTCAGCAGTTCCTTTGGGATGAACACTTTTAGGCGGTTTATGAGATGTTAATGAAAGGTGAAGAATAATAAAACAATCGTGCAAATATGTAATACCGTTTCGATGGATTGCGTCTCGAGCATTTGTGACGACCTCAGTGAGCGTTGGGACATGAGCACCGCATTTCTGAGTATCAACTCCGGACTAGTTTTGCATGTCGAAATCGATGCTGACCTGAAATTCGAACTCGATTCGTTGCGATATGTAACATAAAATTCTCACCTTTCAGAAACTGATGTGTGCGAAAACGAACTAAAATTAAATGACAACTAAATTAACTGTTGCGTTGTTAATTCAGCACTATCTATTGTCCATCATTCTGACCTGGATTTCGCAGAGTCTTCTGACACGACAGATGTCGTTCTTGATCGATTGTTGGTGGTTGGTGGAGACGGTGGATCAGTTAAGAGTGGGCAAGCTTCCGAAGGAGCTCGAGAGGTTGTTGGCGATTTTAGTTCCTTTTCAGACCTAGATGTTGGTATTGGCTCGCGAGGTGGAGGCGGTTCTTCATTTAGATCAGGTGGTGGCAAGCGACCTTCCTGACATTTATGTTCAATTGTATTTCTAACAGTGATCAGT